CCAAGCAACCAGTGCTCACCGTAGCTGTGGCCGTTCACAGAGCACTTGCTGAAGACCATGATGTTCTGGGTGAGGGTGCCAGTCTTGTCAGAGAAGATGTACTCCACCTGCCCCAGCTCCTCATTGAGGGTGGTGGTCCGGGCCTCAGCTGGCGTCCGGCGCTTGGCACAGTACATCTTCTTGTCCCAGTTGATGAAGTAGCTGTGCCCAAGCCGGATCACCTCCACGCTGTGAGGGGCATGGCCGGGTGTCACTGGGGCAGGGCAGCACACTGTGCTGAGCCAGTGACGGGCACACACACACCCATCCCAGACCCTCAGTGCTTGGGGCACCCCGGCACCCAGGGTGCCCTTCCCCAGGGCTGGCCCACACCCGCTCCTACCAACAGCCACTGCCAAGACGGGGCCTGGCACCAAGGGGGCAGCCCATTGGGCTCCCCAGGCACCTCACATACCTACGCACCCCAAACGCCCTCCCCAGCCCCCAGGGCAGACAGCAATGAGCTAGTGGGAGGGGTGGGGGCGACACGTTCTTACCTCGGGGCTAAGGGTGACAGAACCCATGCTGGGGAACGAAAAGAGAGAGAAATTAAAAGAGAGAGAGAAGGGGACTGTACAGGAGCCTGGGAGCTGTAGGAGGGCAGAGCAAAATAACCAGCGTGCAGCCAGGGTAGAGAGAGACGAGCAGCCAGACACACACAGCTGGGAGGACCCCGAGGGACCTGTGGGGTCTCAGGTCTTGGGGTGTCCCTGAAGGCAGACATGACCTGTCACCAAGACAGCAGCCCACACCCACCCCGAACACACACGTCTGCTTATGGGTCTCCATCCCTGTGTTCCCCCCCCAGAGGGCACCCCTAATTCCTCACACACCCCCAACCCAGCCCCTCGGCCCCTGCCCTACCTCACGTAGAGTGAGATGGGCACCACAGTGTTGAGGATGATGATGTAAGACCAGAAGGAGAGGAAGCCAGAGAAGAAGGCACTGTGCACCCCCTCGTCCCAGGGCAAGTAGATCTGGAAGCAGACGCCCACCTCGTGCTCCCAGATGGCATTGCCAATGGCCAGGATCACTCCCATGCACACCAGGAACCCAAAGATCTGGGGATAGGACAGGACAGGACAGGACATCAGAGCTCTGACTGGGCCAGAGCGAGGGCCCCCAAGATCTGCCTTCTGCATACCCAGAGCACCAGTGTGTTCATCAACCGGTCAATGCTCGTCCGCTTAAACTTGGTCCGGCCACTGTTCTGCATCAGTTTCGTGTCGGGCCCTGGGGAGCAGGAAGGCATCAGGGGGGTCTCTTCCTCCCCTCTGTGCAGTGCAGTTGCGCTGCTGCCTCAGCCTACCTGCGAAGATGACGAGGCCAAAGCACCACTCGGTGTTGCGCAGGACACAGCCTCGCAGCAGCATGTTGTGGTTGCTCAGGGGGTACTTGTTCTCCTTCCAGTACAGTGTCCCACCAAACTTGTCAAGCTTGTTGTTGGGGGGTTCACAGACTACCTCACCTGGGTGCAGGGGATGGCTCAGCTGGGCCTTGCCTTCTTCACGTGGCCAGCTGCATCCAGTGCCCCAGCACCATCCCAGGCGCCCCAGAGATCTGCTTCAAGCCGCAGGACAACGCCGTGTGGCTGATCCTGGTTTCTCCAGGGTGGTGGAGGAAGGAACGTGGGGGCTGCCCCGTGGGCACTCACCGTCAAAGAGAGCCAGCTTGCTGGTGTCCCTCAGCTCTGCGGTGACAGGTATGGCCTGGCGCACCTTCATGTTGGTCTCTCTGCAGGCAAGGAGGCACCACATTAGGGACAGCCTGGCAGGGAGGGCCTTGGCAGGTGCTGCCTGGCAGCTCCCACTCTGCCCACAGCCCACTCTCTCACTCCCAGCTCCTGCCTTCCCCGGCCCTGCAAGGTGAGCAGGGGCACCCACCCATCCAGCTCTGCAGTCTCTATGTAGCACAACCCATGGGGTTCGCTGCTGGAGAGGAGAAGGAGGTCGGCCTGCTGGGAGAGACATGTGAAGGGTTGCGCCGACACCAGGGCTCCACAACACCCTCCCCAGGGAAGCTCCTGGCCCCTGGATGTCAGCAGGGTCCCTGAAGCCTCTGCAAAGGCTGTCCCCAGCCCATCCCTTGCACCCAGGCCTTGCCATCATTGCCCCAAACACCCAGATTCCCAGAGTTCAAACAAGGCTCCGATTCTCCAACCTAAACACAGCTTCCAGGATGAGAAGTCCCTGATGTCCCCACCCCAGGAGGTGATGGAGGAACACAAAGGCAAAGTGGGTGCAGCACCATGTCATTATGCAATCCCTATATGCCACCCAGCTGGGACCATCCGCATCTCAGGGCCGCACTCACCGCCACAAACTGGTTATTCTCCAACTTGATGATGTCTCCAACACGTACATTCATCCACTGCTCCTGCCGGAGGCTGTGCAGGGACAGTGGACTGGAATCAGGCCCTGCCCACTGCCCTGTACCACATCCCGCAGGGCCCCGGCCCCCTCCCCACTGTCCCATCCCTGTGACACTCACACTCCACCGATCAGCACCTGAGACTGCCGGTTGTTCACCTGGTTGTCGCTTTTATGGCGGAACTGGAAGTGGGGGGAAGAGACAGCAGCATCAGCTCCTTGGGGAGGGGCTCCTGCATCCCCCCCACCCTCGCAAATGCCACGGCCCTGCACCCTCACACCAGCGTCCCAACCCCCCGCCCAGCATGCAGAGGGGAATGGGGGAAACCACTCACATAGTCATCAGTGGCATCTTTGACAGCTGTGATGGTTAAGACAAGAACCAAAGGCACGATGGTGGTGAACCAGGAGAGCGAAGAGATCTGTGGGATCAGCTGGGGACAGGGAGCAGGAATTACAGGAGAACTGGCCAGCCCCAGGCCCATGCTGCCCCTGCTCAAGGGTGCCAAACCTCCACTATTCCAAGGAGTGGGCGCGCCTGGAGCCCTCCTGGATGCCCAGGTAGGGAAGGAGAGTGTGAGGAGCTCTGCCTGCCCCCCAGCACTCACCTGCAGGATGAGGAGGAAGAGGAAATAGGTGTTGGCTACTTCCTGGAACTGCTCAAAGAGGTTGACAGGCAGGAAGGTGACAATGTTGTACTTTGAGGTCTTGATGCAGTTGCTCTGGGGACGGATGGGGCAAGAAGGCAGTTCACAGGCTGTCAAGGCCCCATAACCCCCACCCTTGCTCTGGAGGGCAGGGCTGTGGCTCACTGTGCTCTTTGGGGGGCTCTGGGCAGCAGCCTGGACTCCCAGCTCCTGTCCCTGCACTACCTCTGTCACCTTCCTTGGGAAGCTGATTCCTCTGCCTTGGTCACCAGACAGGGCCCAGCCTCCTCCAGCAGTGCCCTGCAAGGGTGACCCCAACCCAGACTCCCTGCATTCCTCTCTGCAACCAGCCTTGGAACAGCCAGGGATAACCTACAACTTTAGGGGGAGGCCAAGGTGAGTGCTGTCCCTCCCCCAGCACCTTTGGAAGCTGGTCCATAAGGGATGAGGGGCTGAACCCTTCACACAGAGCGCACTGTGTCCCCTAGCCCCACAGCTCCCTTGCCATTGATGTCATCAGCACAAATTTCTCAGGGACAAATATCTATTTTTTTGTCATAACAATAGCTATGTCATAACATATCTATTTTTTTGCCATGACCTGTGGGTGACTCAGGCCCCAGCCCCCACAAACTTGCCCAAACACCCCTGGGAGGGGTTTCAGCTCCCCTCTCACTCACCGCGTACTGGAACTTCTCGTTGTACTCCCGCGCGTTGGCTCGCACTCGCCGCTCCTCCTCTGCAACAGAGCGCCCCATCAGTCCTGTGCACCCTGACACCCCCTGAACCCCGACCGGCCCTGCATTCTGACACCCCCTGCACCCCATCCCCCCTTCCACCCTGACACCCCCTGCACCCCAACCACCCCTGCACCCTGAGAGCCTGCCAAGCCAGTCCCAGAGACCCAGAACCCAGGGAACAGAGAAGCTTCCCAGCTGTGGCCCATGCCAGGACCTGTACTCCTGCACCTGCAGAATCCCAGTGCTGCTTATCTGTACTCCCCACCAGCAAAACCTGCACCCCCAGGTCCCCCAAGCCTGCACCCTAGACCTCTGCTTATTTGCATCCCCAGAGCCCCAGACCCTGCACCCCCCCATGTCTTGTTTGTCTGCTCCTCCAGCTCGGCACCACCAGGGTGCCAGACCCTTCCAGCCCTGCACCCCCAGGATGCATCTCTGCACCCCCAGCCCTGCTCATCTGCAACCCCACAACCTCAGTTTAGAACATCCAGATTCTGCACCCCTAGACCGCATCTCTGCTCTCCCAGACACCCAGACCTGCTCAGCTGCACCTCTGGATCCACAGCCCTGCAGCCCTAGCCCCCCAGATTCCGCATCCCCAGACCTGCCCAGTCCTGCTTGGCCGCATCCCTGCACCCCTGGCCCCCAATTCTGCTCCTCCGCGGTGCCCATGCCGCACCCACCCGGCCCGCCGCGGACGCGGACCCGCGCCCACTTCTCGGGCATCTCCCGGGGCACCGTCATGGCCCGGCCCCGGCCCGGCCCGGCCCGGCCCGGCCCGCCCCGGCCCGCCCGGCCCCGGCCCCGGGGCAACGGCCACACCGGGGCCTACTGGGGTCCGACTGGGCCCCGCCGCGGCCTCCCCGGGCCCCACCGCGCCTCCGGCCCCGCTCACCCGGGGCCCGGCGGGCCGCGCACCGCTCCATGTCCCGCGGCCCCGCAGCCCATGGGGAGCGGGCGGGCGGGCGGGCCGGGCCGGGCCGGGGCCGGTTCCGCTGCCGCCGCCTCAGCTCCCCATGGCCGCGGCGGCGCCGGGCGGCGGCGGAAGTGCGGGGTGTGGGCGCGGGGGAGCGGCCGAGCGCGGCCCCGGAGGGTCCCGGAGCTCAACCCCGCGGGTGCCCCGGCCGGCAGGGCGGCTCCGGGGGGGGCCCGGGGAGCCGGGTGGGTCCCGGAGGGCCAGAGGCAGCCACAGGGGATAGCAGGGCGCAATCCCGGGTCCCGGTGGGACACTCCCCCCCCTACCAGCGTGTCACCCAGGCTGAGGTCTCTCTGCAGCCAGGCCTGGCTGGCCCGCCCCCCGCGGGGGGCTTGGAGCCGCTGCCTCCCCCATACCCCTGCACACCCACGTCTAGAGACGAGATGCCGCATGACCTCAGGACTCATTTAATAATGTGAGGGGGATGGTAGTGGGGACCGTGCTGCTGCTGCGGGGTGGTGGAGGGTACCCGGTAGGCACTGTTCCCCCAGTGTCCTCCTTGGATGACACCCCAGTGTCTAGGTCAATGTTTTTGTTCTCCAGGACGATGGAGCCCTGCTCTTCCAGGGCATCGCCGTCCTCCTCCGGGTAATGGAAAGCCACGAAGAGCTGGTACAGGTATGTGCCCACGGCGGACCCCAGCAGCGGTGCCACCAGGGGCACCCACCACCACCCATTGCCCCTGCTGGGGAGGAGGCAGGGTGAGCAGGGGGTCACTTCTGTTACCCCCACCTCACCCCCTTCCCTCTACCTACCTGAAGACCTCTGGGCCCCAGCCTGCCAGGTAGGTGAAGAGCCGGGGCCCAATGTCTCGTGCGGGGTTCAGAGGGCAGCCGCAGTTGGCGCCCATGGAGAGTTCAATGGAGAGCACCAGCATGGCCACGACCACTGGTTCTAGGCCCTTGGGGACACCCTTGTTGCGGTTGTCCATGACACCCATGACGCCCACTAGCAGCACCCCTGTGCCAATCACCTGCAGGGTGACATGGCAGCTCAGCACCACGGGGACCGGCACCATGGGAGAGGGCTGGGGGAGCTGACAGTGGCACTCACCTGGTCCAAGAAGCCATTGGCGACAGACACGTAGTCAGCTGGGTAGGTGGCGAAGATGGAGGCGGTTTCCCGGGGGCCGGACACGGTAAGGGTGCCATTGCTGTAGTGCCAGATGGCATCTGTGGGGCAGAAGCAGAGCCTGTCTGTGAGCCTGGCCAGCCTGGCACTGCCGTGGGGTTCCCCAGCCCAGTGCTGCCCTCCCATACCGTAGTAGAGGATGTAGACAACTCCGGCAGATAGGAAAGATGCCAAGGTCTCCACGAGCATGAAGATGGGAAACTTCCACCAGGGGAACTGCTCCGTCAGGCACATGGCGAGGGAGAACGCCGGGTTCATGTGGGCCCCTACAACCGAGCAGGGAGAGGGGCTAAGAGGAAGGGGTCCTGGGGGACTCAGAGCTGGGGGATGGCAGGAGCTGGTACCCCCTCCTCAGCCTCACCTGAGATTCCCCCTGCTATGTAGATGCCCACCATGACAGCCAGGGCACCTCCCAAGAAGCTGGTGAGGATGTCCCCCTTTGTCTCTTCGCTGGTGACCTTCTGTGCGGCAGCGCTCAGGGTGATTGTCTGGAGAAGAGAGACGTGCCCATCTCAGCCCCACCAGCCCTGTGCTGAGACACCGCCTCCACTGACAGCACAGGGCAGCGAGGTGAGGGCTGTGCCGGTGCCGCCTCTGTGGTTTTGCTCCCCGTCCTTGGACATCGGACAGGCACTGGCAGGGAGGCGCTTACTGCTCTCACTTGTGGTTTTGACAGCAAAGCAATCAAATTATTAGCAATTAAGTGAACTGCTTCCCTGGGGAGGTGGTGGGGAAGAAGTGCTACGGCACAGCCATGGGGACACCATTTGCCATCGTGGGATGTAGCCCAAATGCCAAGAGCAGCTCCAGAGCCCCAACCTCTGCCTACTCCAAGGCAGGAGGAATTGTGGCACGTGCTGCCCGGTGCCACACCCTGATTGCAGCCGCGGCACAGGGCGGGCCATGCCACGGGAACAGGGTCCAAGTGGAAGGACAGGCAGTGCTGAGTCGCACATTCGAGAGTGGCGCAGCGCCAAACACCCCCCACCCCAGCAAGGGGCAGGCAGTGGAGCCCTGGGACCCCTGGCACCTGCCAGCACCCCACCATCAGCCCCATCCTACCCACATGACCCCCCCATCAGCCCCAGCCCACCCGTTTGCCCCCCACAGCCAAGCCCAGCCCCGCTCACAATGAGGACAAAGGTGGAGAGCAGCTCAGCCAGGCATTCCCGTATCAGCTGGTTCCGAATTCGGAGCAGACGCCGGACCCTTGTCAAGAAGGAAGCAGAGCCCATGGTGCCAGCTTGGAAGGGGCAGCTGTGACAGCAGTGGCAGCAGTGACAGTAGTGCCTCGATCCCAATGGATTTTATGAGCTCTGGGGCCAGGTGGGTGATAAATGTGTAGACTTTAAACCAATCAGGGCCACACCGAGGGAGACACCCGGCAGGGACTGGAGTCCCACGTGGGGCTGGGGAACCTTGGGACACCTCGTGATGATGCTGTACCCCAGCAGGGCCAGGTCAGATCCCCAACCAGCCACGCGGTGCCCAGACCTCACTCAGGTGAGTGGGCACAGGCGTTTCCCAGCCAGGAGCCCCCTTCTCCCGCCACATCGTTGCCCAAGCTGCAGCTGCAGTCAGTGCTAATGAAGAGGGCCCTGGCTCAGCACCAGGCAGTGAAATAGGAGAGGGAGGTGAGCAGGGAGCAGCGCAGGCACAGGAGTCTGGCAACCACCTGCATCCCTCAGGCAGCCCCCCAAGAGCCACCCTGGCAGCCAGGGCAAATCTGCTTCCAAACCCACGAGATTCCAGCCTGAAGGAGCAGAGCAGGTCACTGTTTAGCATAAATAGACTTTATTGCTCTGTACGCACACACGCATTTGGCCCCCACGGGGGTTCCTGTGGCTCCATAGCACTCCTGAAGGAAGGTAGCCCCCAGCCCAGGTGCTAACTCCCAGGAGGATCTGACCCACCTACAACAAAACCAGGTGGTGAGAAGATACTGCTGCCCAGTGTCCACTTTGACAGCCCCAGCCCCTGAGCCGTCCCCACGACCCTGGGGAGCCCCGGGGTCCGTCCCCCCTGCACATGTCAGACGTACTGGGTGCTCAGCCAGGGCCGGGCACAGCTACCAGCTGGAGAACCAGTGTCGGAGGAAGCTGCTCAGGATAGAGGACGGGTCGCTCGGATCGGGAGGGCGGAGCTCGTCCCGCCGCGGCCACGAGCCTGCAAACTGCGCCAGCTCCCCTGGAGAGGCAGGGAGAGCCCCCTCAGCCGGGCGCCTCCCGCCCCCCCCCGCGCCCTCTCCCGCCCCCCACTCACGGTCGTCCATGTTGAGCACCTCCTCCCGGTAGTCCTTGCCCTGCCCGTCCTCCTTGGTGGTGGTGATGAAGGCCTGGTCCCCCCTCCGGCGCGTCACCGTGGTCTCCCGGCGGCCCTGGCTGTCCTGCACGGTGCGGCGCTCCTCCACTGCCTGCACGGAGTGCCGAGCCCTCAGAACCCCCGACCCTGACCCCCTTCAGGCACCCGCGGAGACACTCACCCCGTCAGGCAGAGTCACTTTGGTGACAGAGACGCTCTGGAAGTAGGAGCGGGACTTGGGCTCCTCGGGTCTCAGGATGGTCCCCAGCCCCGCGGAGAAGACCTGGGAGTCCAAGTCTGAGGGGAGATGTGACACGGTGACCGCGGGTGTGGGGACACGCCCCGGCGGCCGCGGCAGCGCAGAGACCCCCGGACCCCACTCCCAGCACACACCTTGGTCTTCCTTGAGGCCGGGAGGAGCCGGGCGAGCATCGTCCAGCTGCAAGGCAAAGCCACGCGCCGGTGACGTGGGAAGCAAACCCCAACACCAGGGCAACACCGCGACAAGCACCGAGCGGCACCAGCAGGGTGCGACGGCTGCCACGGCGGAGGCGGACCCCAAACCCCTCACCCACCCCCAGGAAGGGTCTCCAGGGCCGGGCCGGGTTTCTGGCGCCCTCGGGGCTCGCCGGGGCCGCGCTGGCGGGGGGGCTGTCCGGATGTTTCAGCATCGAGTCCCGCAGCGGCCGCCCCTCGCCGGGGCCGGGCAGGGCGGGCGCTGCGGAGCAGGGGGAGGTCGGTCAGGCCGAGGGGTTCCGAGCGGCCCCAACAGCCCCGCTGAGCCCGGCCCCGCCCCCCCATCCGTGCCCACCGAAGAGCTGGGGGGGACCGGCCCAGGCTCCCCCGAGGGCCCCCAGAAGCTCGCCCATGTCTCGGAACAGCTCCTCGAAGGTTCCGTGGGACGCGCCGGGGCTGAACCCGAAACCGAAGTCCTGTGGGGGCTGCGCCAGGCATGGGCCGTCATCCTCCTCCTCCTCGTCCCACGCCGCGCCGCCGAACAGCGGGTCCCGGGGCCTGCGGGAGCGCGGCACTGAGACACCGGGACGGGGGCTGTGCGGGCAGGGCCGGGCGAGGTTGCGCTACCTGCGCCGCCCCGGGAACCCGAAGAAGCCGCGAAAGGCGTCGTAGAAGCTCATCCCGCTCCCGGGCCCTCCCGGTGCCCCAGGCCCCGGGGTCGCGCGGCCGCAAAGCGCCGCGGCCGCAAAGCGCCGCCGGGTGTCGTGAGGCGCTTTGCGGGGCTGGTCCCGTGTCCCCCCGGCCGGGCCCGGGGGCAGCGGGGGCTCCATCCTGCACCCCTGGCGTCCTGCGGCCCTGCGCTGTGCCCCCAGCTGAGCTCCGTCGGCCCAGCCCAGTGCCCTCCCGCTGCCCCACTGGGACCCACAGCACGGGGAGCTCCGGCTTTGCCCCCCCCGAGCCCTCGGCCCCTTAACCATGCAGCTCAGCAGCCACTGCCAGGACACCTGGGCCTTCCTGCCACCCTCATGGTCCCACTGCCCTCCCCAGCGCCCGAGACTCCCCTCCGTGACAGCCGAGCCTGTCCCGAGCCCGTCCCGAGCCCCTCCTGGGGACGTGGGGGCTGGGGTGGAGCCCCCAAGCTCCGAGAGGAGCAGTGGAAGGGAAAAAGTGGAAGGTGGGAATCTCGGGGAGAAGGACTCTGACCTTGTCCCTATGTTGGGATCCTGCTGCTGCCCAGAGCTGCAGCCGGGAAAAAATCCACAAAACGAGGGGACAAAAAAGCCCCACAAACCAGCAAGAGGGAGAGGTAGGGGAAGCGTTGACACCCCCGCCCCTCCAGGGCCTCCCACCCCCTGCACCAAAAATAGGGAACCAGGCTGAAAGGTGGAAAAAATACACACATCACTTTGTGATCTTTATTCTCTTCAGTAAATCCCTGCTTGGGACTGCAGCTGAAGGGACCAGGTGGAACCGAAAAATACAAGGTCTGGACTGCATAGAAAAAAAAAAAAAAAAGAAAAAAAACCCAACCCAAAAGCAGAAGATACTTACAGCGTGCAAGGGGAGCAGGACCTGCACTCAGGGCCTGTGAGGAGGGGGGGGCACGCAGATGGAGAATGTAAAATAGGGGGGGGGGGGGGCCTCTGTCAGACAGCAGTGGAGGGGGGAGGAAATGAGAGAACTAGAGGACGGCATGGGGTTTTTGTTTTTATATACAAGACACATTTATCCATTAAATTTAGAACACGGTACAAAAAAAACACTTCAACTAATTAATCTTACAATGCTGCTCATATCAATTACTGGTCTTATTCCTAATAATAAGGGGGTTTGCTGTAGGCGACTTGCAGCTTCCACTCCTTTGAATCTGAGAGGTTCTGGGGCAGCAGGAGGGGAGAGGGGACAGAAAGGAGTAAAAACCAAAACAGGCCCCTACGGCAAACGGTTCAGATCTGAATGCAGAGAGAAAAAAAAGGAAAAAAAAAAAAAAAGAAAAAATACAAATTCTATATTACATACAACAGGAAAGTGGCTGAAGACAGACAACGCAGAGGCGCCTGCGGCCTGCCCTGCGGGGCCCTGCCGGGGTTGGGGGCCTGGGCGCTCCCCACCACAGGGCTCTCTCCTCCCTGGGATCCTTCAGCATCATCGGGGTAGCTGGGATTCTCTTCCGGAAGCAAAGTGGTGGTGGGGGGGCCCGGCCTCAGTTGGCACCCCAGCTGTAGCTGTTGTAGGCGGATTTGTTGGCCTGGGATTTCTGGGGGATGGAGCTGCCTTGGCTGCGCTGCCCGGAGCCACTCTGCAGGAAGGGGCAGAAGGAGAAGCGGGTGGTGAGTGTGGGGGGAACCGGCCCCAGCCCACTCCTGCAGGACGATGCCTCAGCCCTGCCAGGCACTGCGGCCACGGCGGCTCCTCGGCGTCCGCTGCTCTGCCTCCGCCCAGCCGAGCTCCCAGTGCTGGGGCACTGGGGCTGTCCTGTCTGGGCCCTGGCAGCCCCAGCACCCTCCCTCTGCTCCATGCCTTCCTCCAGGCCAGCAGCACATAGGGCCAGGGGCAGCAGGGAGGGGGAAAGGGTCAGCGCAGGAACATGTGTGTCTGCACGTGGGGGGGTGTGTGTGTGTGTGTGTGCACATACCGACTGAGGGCCTCTCTCCTCACCTTGTGCGGCCACGGGGGAGAAGGAAGAGGCTACTTGAGCCTGGGCAGCCTTAGGGGCAGGGGGAGACCCCAGGGCAAGTGCAATGCATTATCAGAGAGTTCATTACCTGATCTTCCTGCTGGCGTTGGCAGCACAGTATCATCTGCAAATATGGAAGCTGTTGCAGTACCAGGATATGTAAAATAAAGGGACAAACTATGACAGTAGAAATCCACGGTTAGACCTGAAAGCTCCGGCAGGGTCGTGGCTGTGGCAAGTGACCCCTTTGCTGCTTGGCCTGTGGGGCTGCCCCTCTGAGGACGGGGGAGATCGGGACGCCCCGAGTGTGTCTGCGTGAGGGGGCACTACCTGGCCATTCCTAGCGCAGCCTGGTAGCATGGGGGGGTTGTGCCAAGTACCCCCCCCAGCAGAGCACACCCCGAGTGTGTCCTCACCTCATCCTCTCACCTCTCTGTGTGTATGTGCAGGTGTGAGTGTGTGTGTGTGTCACCGCGTGTGTCCGCTGCAGGACACGAGGGAGGGAGGGAGGGAAGGGGGGCCAGAGGCTGGAGGGGGAGGAAGAGCCCTAGGAGATACCCCAGCAAGGGGCTGGAGCACGGGGGCATCGCTCACCTGCCCGTCCTGCTGCAGGTGGTGGTGGAGGATCTGCGAGTGGGGCTGCTGATGCGGGGTCAGGATGTGCATGAAGGGGGTGGGGGGATACGCCGCCGCCGTTGCAGGGTTGATGGGGCCACCACTGCCCAGTGCCGAAGGCAGGTTGAAGGAGGCTGCCGGGGTTCCAGTGTGAAATCCCTGCTTCTCGAAGGATTGCTGAGGAGAGGATGCCAACAGTGGAGTAAGGGCTGGGAGCCAGGCTGGCAGTGTGCCCCTCCCCAGCTCTACGCGTCGTGGGCCCAGAGTCAGTGTGTGATGCAGAGAATGGATAGAGTCTCTTCCTATGGCTCTTTCTGGGCTTAGAATTGCTCTAAACTGGGGAAGGTCAAGCATTTCCCTTCTCCCTGGCTGACCAATCCAAGGGGAAGAGACCTTTACTGCACAGGGAGGCTGCCTCAGAGCTCAGTTCCTCTCTGGAACCATGCAGGGAGCACTCACAGACACTAACCTGAGTTTTGGAGTAGACAGAGCCCGAGATGTCCGGCACGCCTGTATTACTGGATGTCACGGATACACCTGCAGAGGAGGGAGAGGCAGGAGAGCGTTAGGCAGCAGCCACCGGTTCAGCAGGAGCTGCTGACAACCAGCAGCACCTGGTGGAGAGCTCTGGTGGCCAGGGAAGGTCTAAAGATAGATCCGCCTGGGGAGCAGGGTCCTGGCATGGCCATGAACAAAGCGCCCATACAAATTTAAGTTCTTCTGCTCTGGACACGAGTCCAGAAAGCAAGCGAGGGGCTGGAAAAACACACAAAGAAACACACAGAAAACAGCAGCTCTGAGGAGAGCTGGGGAATGCAGCACAGAGACAGGGAAACAAACCCCCAGCATGGAACACGGCAGCAAGAACAGCCTGAGAGCTCCTCGTGTGTATAACAGGCAATTGCATGTAAAGGCAACTCCGCTGTGGGCTGGGATGGTTGGTGCAGTGACCGCCAACACAACCTGCACAGGGCTGTCTGTAAAACAGGGTGGCCCAGCGGAGAACTCAGTGACCATTTAAGGTGCAGAAAAAGTGCTGAAATCAGGGAGGTTTGAAGGACTCAGCACAAGATGACCTGGTACAAAGCTGAAGGACCTTCACAAAGAGGAAACAGTATCTCGAAGGGCTCTAATGTAGTGAAAAGAAGGACAAGGGGAATTTAAAGGCTGGAAGAGGGACCCAAATGCACCCCTGTGTAAGTCAGCTGGAGGCCAACCAGTGAAACCAGTACCAAGACAGGCGGCAGGTTCACAACCTTCCTGCATCTTTGAATCAAGGATACCTCCCTAGAAAGTGTCTACCAAACACTGGTGGGAAATGAATTCAAATCCAGAATAACTGCTGTTCTATTGATCACAGAGTGGCAGTTAAGAAAACAACAAATCAAATAAAACCAAACAATTCAGCTTCTGACAGGGGTTCAAGGCCCCAGCCACTCGACTGTGGGGCACAGAGGAGGGCATGAAGTGCTCTGTATCTCCCAAAACCGCTCCAGATGTGGATGCAGAACAACCCTGGGCCTTTCCAGGGATAACTGAATGACATGAGAGTGGCACCCCAGGCATTCTTCTCCCTTACTGCCAGAAGACAGCAGTCCCCAGCACAGCCAGGGAGACTGGGAACAAGCCCTGCTACCGTGGAAGGTGCTCCAACAGGTCTCTTACCGGCGCTGTACCCATGAGAGCCGTAGCCACTGGGCTGTTGGAAAGGGGTCGCTGATGCGTTGACGCTGACATTCACACCATGCTGCTTGGAAGAGGTAGGAGCAACCTACAGAACAGAGAGGAGCAGAGTGAGGAGAGGCTTTGCTGTGCCACCCCCCCGCCCAAATCCCACACCTTGCCTCCAGGAAACTCACAGGGAACACAGCGGGCCCATACTGGAAGGTGCTTGGGAGCCCTGGTACCCCTGTGTAGTACGGCAGACTGGTGTAACTGTAGCCAGGAGGCAGCGCCGGGTTCAGGAACGTCTGCTGCGTGGTGTGATGGGTCTGGGTCTGGCTCTGCTGAGGCTGTGCCAGAGTTGTTGCAGGAGCAGGAGAAGAGGCATCTCCTCGGCCAAATTTTGTTAAGTCACCTGAAATAGAGGAGGTGAGAGTGAAGAACACAAGTGCCAGATCCTGGCCTGTTCCAGCTCAGCCCAAAGCTGACCCAGCCTTTTGATAAACAGCTACTTGAATCAGTTCCTCCTCCTGCCACTGCAAAAGTCTGCTGCCCTCACAAGCCCTCAGACCTTTGCACATTGATAAGGCAAAGCTGTTAATTACTCCTTGGCCCTGAGAGGACTACCGGGGGGAAGGGAAGCCCACAGTAGCTCAGCTACTGTGCTGCACTGCCTGACGTCAGCCCACAATCCAGCACTGGATAAACCTGCTATTGGCTGCCTGTGCAGCAGAGCGTGGTGCTACAGCTCTCCTTCATCCCCCTCTGTGCACCAGCAGCAGGACTGAACACAACCCAAGTTCCCTGCCTGGGCTGTGGAGGGCTTGGCTGCAGGGCTGGGGGAAGCTCCCTGTGCTGCTCTTTATGAGCACCCGCTTGGTTCTTCTATGCAAAATCTCTCCAGTTCAGGAGCTCACATGGGGCCAGGCTCCAAGCTTGGCATTTAAGCCTCAGCTGGGCAAAAGCACTTCCACACAAACTGGCTCCTGCTGAAGCCAGGGAGAATCAGTGCTGGAAAAATAGAAAACCCTGAAAGTGCAACAATTCCTAAAGCACGTGAAAGCTCAGCACAGTTATGCCCACTGCAGGTTGGCAGCGCATAAACGCATCTACCAAGGTCAGTGAGCGGTCAGGCACCCGCTGAGTGCTTGGTTCAAGTTTGACAGGTCCCCAGTGTCCTGCTGGTTTTCTTGATAAGACTGTCCCATAGATAAAAAACTTAATTTCTCCATATTTTGTGCTTCTTTGTATTTTTACTCGCACTGCTTGAGTGCTGGCCTCACCACCACCTGGAAAGCAGTTCCCCAGCTGTACTCCTCGCTGAATCTTTCAGCCCTTCCTCACTCCCTTTCCAACTGCCACACTAACTCCTACTCGCCCACCTCTTCCCTGTAACAGGCCTTGAAAAAACCAGATGTCCAAGGACAAGACAAGAATTTAGCTGCGAGACATGCTCCAAACCAAAGGCAGTGCAGGAGGCTGGTGCAGATGTAGCTCCAGCAGACAAAGGCACAGGACACCAGTAGCAGCAGCACAAACCCTGATGGAATGGGATTTAGAGCAGACTTTTTCCCTACCAGAGTATGGATTGCTGCTCAGGCTGCCATCTCTTCCAGTCAGCGGGGTGGTGGGTGTGGGGAATGGGATGCTGTAGTAATCCTGATGAATAAAAACAAATGGAGATATTTTATCAGCTCTGTCTAAAGGTGCAAAGCAGTATCTTTTGGGACAGAGGAATTTCCGTCCTGCAGCTGCAAGATATGTCAGGGTACCACAGTTCAACCAGCCACATCCAGGCTGATCACGACCTACAGCAGCCCCAGGTTTTTGTAGCATGCACCGTCCCCCTGATCTGGCTATTAGAAGAACCAGATAAGGTCTACTGGTATGCAGTCTTTAAACTGCCTGGACTTTCCCCTCTGCTTCAAAAGAAAATGGACATGTCCTATCACTAAGTAAAGCCCATTCTAAGAAGTATTTAGTCACTGCCTAAGTCAAGGATCAGAGGTGAATCTCTACAACAGCCCTGCTGCTGTTCTCATGCTTCCTGGCCCCACAAGAGATACTGCTGATGAGTAACTCATGCACCCAAATTCCCACGTGTCAAGGAGCAACTGACTAACTCTGACAGCTGTCACAGAGAAGTGCAGCCATCCAGCACCCCATTTTTCCAGCTCTTCGGGACTACCCACAGCCTGACCTGTCTATAACCCCACAGCACTCAGAGCCAGCAGAAGTGGTGTGTCCCTGTCACTCTGCACTACTCACCAATGGGAATCTCGTCTGGAGCATTTGCAAGTCATCGTATCCGTACACCTGTGGCTAGAAAAAGAGCAGCAGACGGACTAGATAAAGACACTTATCTAATTTTAGATTAAACATTTAGATAAACATGAGATAAAGCCAAAAGCAGCTGGTCAGCAGCCCATGACCCCCCAGGTGCAGGCAGCCACTCCCTATGCAGGCTGACGCTGCTGGGGGTTCCTGTGAGCTGCTCAAAGGACAGTGCTCCAGACCACACAGCCCCTGAGCAGTTTTTCCGCAAAATCTGTTCTCAGCTTCAGGAGAGGGCTGCGACACACCCCTAGACTTCGTGGGAGTCACCACCCTTGCACTGACTGTGTTTGCCCTTTGTCACAGCATGTTTCTAACACAGCTCCATGCTCCCATGCACCATGCTCTGCCAAGGGCTGCTGCTCCCCAAAGGCTGGGGAGGCTGCTGAGAATAGGTACAGAGACTCTGCTCTGGGGTCACGAGGACAGACATTTACACCCACGGGCACGTGGATTTCATGGAAAGCAGGAGGTTCAAACCCCACCTGTCCAAGGCAGCCCCACCGAGCTATGTCAGTTTTTGGTCTCCCCACTATCCTGCATCCCTCCCTGCTGCAGAGGGAGCTGGGAGGGATCTGGTGGCACGACATTACCGTAAAGCAATTGTTCTACTCACTGGATAGGCATGTAGCAACCCTGGAGCCATGATGTATGGATTAGGCAACAACGGTGGGACTCCAGGAGGGAGATTAGGAGGGGCTTTTCCTGACAAAGGAAGAGAAAGTTCCACAGTAGAGCAAACAGCAGAAACTCACTCTCTTAGCTCCTGTACAGCAGGACCCAGGAAAGTACCTGATGTTGTTGCAACGGAGCTTCGAGTGGAGGCTGTCACCGTGGAGTTGCTGCTGAGGCTGAGGCCCAGGCTGCTGACGCTGCTGAGGCTGGATGAAACACTGACCACCGGCGGCGCGGCCGACACCGTGCTGGAGGAGGTGGAGAAAGTGCTAGCAGAAGAATGGAGGCTCGCTTCACTCTCCACACTCGTGTGCTAGGGAAGGAAGGGAGGAGAGTCAGGGGACCAGGCAGGTGGAACAGAGTGCACAGGTACCACAGGACGCTGTCTACGCAAAATACATGCTGTGTCTGCACCTGGGTGTTCCTGCAGGGAACTGCTGCAGGCTACAAGGAAACCTGCTTTGCACCTGGCTTAAGTCCAAAGTCCTGACAGCAGCCAACCCCTAATGTTTTCAAGCCTCTCCTGTGGCTGTGCCCCAATATCTCTCTGCTGGGGGGAGCAGGGCAAGACACCACATTTGTGGCAGGGAGATTTATTCTGCTGCAGAAGCCGATACCCAGGGACTCCATACTATGAGAGCTCCAGCAGTAGAGACATTTGGTAGCACTGCATCAGCTACCAGTTTGCTCTGACGTGGTTGCGACTCTGTAGCGCTTTCAAGGGCTGCTATAGACCCAAAAGAGCCACTGCTCAGCCAGAGACAAGCAGGGGGTCAACAGCCTCAAGCCACAGGTGCACAGACAGTGTTCTGACATAAACCCCTCCGTCCTCTCTCCACACAGCACCCAAACTCCAGCAGGACAGCCAGCAGCCTGGCAGGTTCTGTCACAACCACAGCCCCAAAGTCAGGCACCCCAGAGAACCTGGCCAAGCCAAGTGGGAACGGGGCACAGAGCGCAAGACCACACCCAGACTCACCAGGAGAGTTGAAGTTGATGTTCGCCCAGAGGATGTGGATGAGGACAGACTGTTCTGCTGGGTGGGCAACGCACTGCGGGAGGAGAAATAAAAGGTTGTCAAACCAAGGTGAGAGAGTCACTGTTAGTGGCACTATCCCATTCCCCACCTACTCAGATGGGATGAGTCATCTCAGTCTTCCTCACTGCACGAGACGGTCTCTGATGTCTAGTATGGATTTCTGCTTCTAGTTCTGCTTCTCCAGAAATCCACCCCTGACGCTCCTCACCTGCTGAGCTGGGCAGTGGTTGTACTGGGGAGCTCCTCGCTGTGGCTCAGGCTGCTCAGAGCTGTCGAGTGTTGGCTGGCTGTTGTCAGCAAGGACGATGCAGACACCCCGTCACTGAGAGGTGTGATACTGGGAGCAGAGGGGGAATCGGATTTCACTGCGGGGCCTGTAGCACCTGAAAAGAAAAGCTTTGGGTTAGGGGCAGCTACTGGCAACTTCCAGAGGGACCAGCAAATGCTCAGCCAAAGGAGTCAGGAGATCTGGGGATTCCCTCACTGCTGGCAACCAGTTACACACTTATGAGTGTGTTCTATGTCTCACTTTACACTGCCATTGGCTCTACAAAGAGCTTCAAGACCTACAGATGTCTTCTACAAAAAAAGCAGAATAAACTATTGTCATTGGTGACTCATCAAGGATCTCATGGATCCATCAACAGAAAGCTCAATGTTTCAAGGCAAGCAAATAATCTAAATGGCAGCAATTAGTCCAGCGGGGAAAGGACCTGCTATTAGCACAGATAAAGCTTCTCATCCGAAGCAGAGAACATGAGCAGCACAAGAGACACAGGTCACCTGCTGTGCTGGCAGACACTTACCTTCAACGGCCTGTGTGGTTTGTAACGGCGTGGGCTGTACAGAACCGAAACCATTCTGAGAAAGAAGAGAAAAAAGGAGTACTGGGCATCACAGCTGCGCATTTCCAGAGGCAGAGCTCGTGTCAGCTCCCTCCCACACTCCTTCCTCAGTTCAGAAAAGGTCCTGCTACCAACACGTGTCACCAGACTGTGTTGGGGTCAGTTCCAAGGTCAACTAGCCCCATGACAGCACGACCCCCACGTGTATATTTGAGAAATTAGTGCGAGAAGTTTCTCTGCTGCTGGTAGTTAAGACCACCTCAACCTCCTCAACCCACGTTCATTAGCCAAACCTGATGTTACTGAACTGGTGTGCAGCATGCAAGAACCAAATCTTTAAGAGGAAATTAAATCCTTCGCCAGCACGCCCCTGTCTAGCAGGGTAACTGCGTGAGACACAACACACACCTTGCAATCAACTTGACATCAGTCCCAGGTACGCAGCACAGCTGAGGGCTCTGGGAGCAGCCAGATGAGAGCTCTCATGACCCACACAGTGAGGCTGGAGAACCACTTGATAAACCACTCAGCTTCCCCCGAGACACTGCTTCACACACAAGGCTCACTCAGCACAACAGGTGATAAAAGCTGTTCTCTTACCTTAGCCTGGGTCAGATCTTTTTGGGGCGAGGAGGAGATGGAATTTGGGTATCGCCTCGTCTGGGTGGATCTCTGTTCATACAGTGGTCCCTGAGCGCTGTTCTGGGAGGTAAATGTTGCTGTCTGTATTGTGCCGCTCTGGTAACCAGACTCCTGGCTTTGATTGGATGAAATCGTGGATGAAGATTCACTATAAAGGGGGGAGAAAAAATATCCAAGATAAAGAGCCCCAAGCATCAGCATAAAGGCACCGCATGAAGCAGCCAAGCCAAGAAACACGCCCAGAGAGCAGGGGTAGCCCAACCACGGGAGGATGCTGGCACCCAGCCACAGCCCTGCCTCACACACTGCCTAGCACTTAAGAGACTGGCCAGCTACTGAGGGTCAGCCCAAGAGAAGACAGAAACATATCGCTTTGGCAAGGCGCCGTAGATACACCTATCCCGCTGTGTCCCAGTTTGCCAGGCAAAAAGCAGGACAAAGCACTCAATCTGTTCACCAGGGACACAGAGCGGTTGTGCTGGGGATTCCCCTTCTGTGTTTCCAGCAACACAGTTTAAGGGCAGCAGGAAAACTCTGCTTTCTGTCCAAGTGCCGCAGGCCGAAACAGCCACAGAGCTGCCCGATGAGTCTGCTGGCAACTTACGCTTTGCTGTTGCATACACTGTCCCCCCTTTGTGACCACAGCGCAGTCAGAAAGGGTCTACTAGTATGCAGCACAACTCAAGTCCATGGGATCAACGACCTTCCAAAGCTGCCTGCTTGGATTAACGGTTCCTGGCGCTCACCTGGCCGTGCTGGTGTACAGGCTGCTCTGAGACTGGCTAACGGCAGCGCTGGTTGTGGGCGTCGACTCGTACTCAGCGAGAACAGGCTCTGAACCAAACTGCAACGCCCCAAACTGCAGGTTTAGCCCTGAGATATCCGCCGAGCCAGGCATTTCCACCGCAAGTGCAGGAATCTGCAAGGGAGGAACAACAGAACGGCCCAGTCGTTCCCTGGGATCACCACAGAGTACTGCTTTAGTGCCCATGTTTGCCAGCACACAATGGCAGTTACAGGCTTGCAGCCTCTGAATTACGCCGTTCAACCCAGGCTGGCGTGTAACTCCATCACCCCCACAAACACCCCATGCTAGCAGCAGGAACGGCAACCCCAGACCTTCCCTCACCAGCCCAAAGGGATGCTTCTGTAGCTCTAACACAATCTGACACCTCCTTCCCCACCACCAATCCGCACCTTTGATGTTAATGATGCTTTTTTCTTCTGCTGCTTCAGCTTCTGCTGTGCTGGCTGGGGACTTGAGGACTGGTTATCCGAGGACCCTGGGGACATCTGGGGCACGGGATTGGTTTTGCTGGGCAGCGGGGAGGATGGGGGTGCCGGTGTGGTTGTGGAGGCCGTCACCACAGGCTGTTTCTCCTGCATAAACACTTCTATCATGGTCGAGGTTGACGTGAAGGCCTGTCGCTTAGTGAAGGGACTATGCACGGAAGAATCTGTTGGGTTCTTGAGATCTGTGGGATGAGACAGAGGTGAGTTAGCAGGGTATGTTGCCTTAAAACTAAATCAAGTTCTGACACTTACCAAGAAAGATAAATTTGTTTCCTACTAGGAGTCATCCTGGAGCCTGTTAAACTCAGAGAGCAGAGATCCCCAGCATCTCCACTCCCAGCCTTGTGCTCTCACCACCACCACTGCCAAGCCTTTTTAAGCTCTTCTCCCCTCAGCTCCTTCCACCATCTCTACAGGACAAAATCAGCTTGCGTGGCAGAAGTCCCTCCATTCTCCAAGAAAAGCTGGACTCCAGAGTCCCTTGCGTGGAGACACTGCACCAGCCTGATGCCGCTTCCTCCCCCCCCACCCCACCCCACCCCCGTTTCTACCGGCATTCCAGTATTCCATTGCCTGCTCCTTCCCCTGCAGGGACTGGGTATCTCCAAGCAACATCACTGCTCAGGGCTGCCACCCTCAGGTCTTTGCACAACCTTCCTCCTTCCACTGAGCCTTTACACAGCTTATTAAAAAAGAGCTTCTATTCTCTCCAACTCTCCTCTGTGGCTTCTTGTCTGAGAAGATAAGAAGCTGTCAACACTCACTGTCACTAGGACAGGGCTCGATTTGTCTTCAGCTTAGATCTGAACCAGAGCCATTTCCCTGCAACAAGCACAAGCTGAAGGAAATGCCACTAGCACTTGACCACAGCAGAGCTCTGCACGTTATCTGAAAAGAGCCTCTCAATCCCTGTTTATTCCCTCAGGCCAGCCCAGAGGTAGAGTTACTTTTTGGCATTTAACAGCAAGTCGAATTCCCTTAGAAGATAACATCAGGTCAGCAGAGAGAGGAGACTGACAAGTGTTGGCATTCAGGACCTATTCTCCAGAAGTGCCCTTTCAGACCTTTTTCTGGCACAACTTTACATTAGGAGGTAGTTCTGCACACTGTGAGAGGCTCAGGAATGCCAGATCCCTGGCCTTGAAGCATGCTGGAATGATGGATTCAACTGCTCCAAGTATAAAAGGAACAGGGGGAGACTCACACACACTGTTATATTTTGGTCTCACAAACTTGCTCCCACAGTTCTATTCATTTCTCCAGCTCAGCTGGCTTGGTTGCAAACTTGTGATCTCCCCCTCTGCTGAGTCCCTTCCCCTGCTGCCTCTGCAGTTCCGAGGGGGAACACACTCTCCCCAGTCTAGGGGGGCCATGCTGCTTTTCCTTTTCCTTACCGTACTGCACCAGAGACGAGGTCTGCGTGGTGGATCCCATGTCCCAGGAAGCAGCAGTGGTGCTCCCAGCAGGCTGGGTGTGCTGAGCTGCCAGCTGAGCCAACGCCTGGGCTGTCTTGAACTGCTCCAGAAACTGAGACCCTGTGGTACTGCTGCCTTTGGCCTCCCCGACATCTCCAAACCCTTTCCCCAGCATGCTCACCTGCAATTTCAGCAAGGAGATAACAAAGTCAACATCTCCCATGGCTTGGAACTTGGCTCAGAGGACAGGTACATCTCTTAACATAAACCTGAATGCACTGTACCCTGCTGCTTCTCACTGGGTGCCTCAGCTTAACACTCCTGAGCTCCAAATGCACACACACTGCTGGCAGAGAGGGCTCATGCTTCTCTCCCAGCCTTCCATCATGTGTGAGTGCAGGCATGATCATCTCTCACCCAACTCATAGCATGGTACAGCCATAGAGGGCTACAAAGAAAGCTAACAGACAGAATCTTAAAAATGTACTCAATTATTCTCACGCATTCAGTTGCGCTAAAAAAGAAACACCTGGAGATCTTGGCTCTGTGTTAAGGTGGTTTTGAAAATCCTTCCTCAACTACCTCACCAGTAAGTGCACAACTTTTATTTCTTTTTGCTTAAGTTACACAATGCAACATCTGCCCAGGTCCCCGCCCATCTCTGACTCTGACTCAATGCCTCCTTCCCTCTCCTGCCAGTAGATGCCAGCATTCCATCCCCCAGTTCCATCCAACACCAGTTCCCAACCACTTCCACTTCTCAAATTGTTGAAATTGCAAGCCCTTGGACCACAAGAGTTTTTCCTTTCCTCTGAGCAGGAAAGAAGCACGTGTTGCAAATCACAGATAAGGGCAACGGGGGGGGGGGGAATTATCCCAATTATTTCAAGTTGAGCAATGAACTTCAGGCCTCTGCATTTGAAGCAGACTGGCAAATTATCTGGCTCTGCCAGTCCCAAGCAGCAAGCAGGTGTCAGGACTGCATTTCCCACATTACCCAAACAGACAGAGAATGTCAGGGAATGAGCAACCCCCATCAAATCTCCACTGAAGAGACCAGCATTTCCTTACCATGCTGTGGTGAGAGAAGGAGTTTCCAGAGGCAGGCTGAGACAGAGCGGTCTGCTTGGAATTGCTGAACACCAGTGGCTGGGCCAGAGAAGGAGTCTGGGATGACTCCAGGTTCGTTGACTCGTTCTCCATAGAAGACGGTGTCTTTCCTAGCAGGACTGCAAGATCGATCCTGCGAAGAGAAAGAGGATAACCCAATAAGGTTACCATGAGCTTCCGCTTCCATTACAGCAGAATTCCCCCTCCAGCCTCACACCTTTAACTTTACAAACTGAAGGAATCTTCAGAACATTAACTCACAACTGCCAGTAGCAACCTCAAAAGGAGAGAGGGAGATCAAGCAAGATCCTGCATAGCCTTTGATTTTAAATCATGTTTTTCATTAATTTAACACAGCAAAATGCCCCCAAACCTGAAGAACCAGCAGCAGAGCCTAGGAAAACTCTAATCCAAGATTAGGACCCGGAAATTACTAACTCAACTTCTCCATTTAAATCCACCTCATCTCGTTCAGAGCTGCTGCATTTTAGCTAGCTGGCAAGGTTTAGTCAAAGAAGGGAAATTGCCCCAGGACATGTGTGCCACTTTTCCCAGGTAAATGGCATCGCCATGGGCACTCACCTTTGTCCAGCTGTGATTGTCACATTCTCAGCAGGCAGAGGCACTGAAGACACGTTGGAGGCAGTGAAGATCTTTGTCTCTGACAGCTGAAAGATATAAAAGGGAAAAAGAATTCAAAAGTGAGAACAGTGCCTTGGAACAGTGCCCGTGACATAAAGTACATGAATGTTTGAGACAAAAGGCCACAGAAAAACTCAAGAAATTCAAGTGTTTAGACTTAAACTTCCCTAGCATTTGGCTCCCATCAGAATCAGTTTTTATTTGTTTCTTCTCGGGCAAGTGCACAAATCACCTGCCAGTGAAAAAAAAAAAAACCCTAAAATACTTCCACAAATTTCCCACAGTCCACAAACCCACTGGGGTTCCTGGGGCCCTGGGCTGGTGCTCTGAGTCGATGGCACACAGCGAGGATCTGCCAAACCCCCTGCACAGATAGGTGCAAGCACTGGTACAGAAGCCAAAGGAAGAAACTTTGGACCCCCACTTAAGCTTCCAATGATTCAGGCTCACTTGGATGATCTGACCAACAGATCTACTTCAGCTATGGAAGGGAAAATAACATTGCTCAAGAATGGGTGAAGAGGAAGGCTAGTGACCACCTGTGATTTAGTCTGGAACATATCTGAACATGAACAGCTTCTATTCCAGGCTGAAGAACCACCAGAAACTAAAGTGCCAGAGTTAAAAAACTAAATCCGGAACCCTGGGGGCATTTCATACACACTGAAGGCAAGAAGGGCTCTCAAAGGCTCCCTTCTAGCAGAGACCTGACTGAACAAAGAGAAACTGCTCCTGTCTCCAAACACAGCAGGAGCTCTTCCCTCAGACAGTGCCTGGAAAGCAAACGCTTCCCCTTCTTGCCCAGTCTGTTGGCTGAGCCAAAATGAGCATGCAAAAGTAACAATCATACTAAAAAAGCTCAACCCCGCTCCCATCTGCAATAACAGAAGTCCTCCCTTGATTTGGAGAGGGACTGAAGCCCACTTCAGAAGAAACTGATATAGAGGCATTAAAAGCTGGTGCTAACAGCATCCATTCTCCCCTGAAGGAGACATCAAGTAGAGAACGAAAGGCGGCAAGACACGCCAAAGAGCAAGTCAGAAAGTCAAGAGCTTCTGTTCCATCCAAGTCACAAAGACAAGCAGAGGCACATGACATGCAGGAAACCACTGCTGCCTCCTCCATGGCACATGGTGGGATCAAAGGCAAACCTTCCCCAACTGCCACTCCACTGGAGTGACAGAGCAAGAGTCTCAGGCCAGTTTTTGGAAGAATTCCATTGTACAGTTACAGGAAATGAGAGGACCAGCCTCAAGGCCCTAGGAGATCCCTTTCTGTCCTGGGCTCCTATGACAAGCTCTACTACACATATCTTTTTGAAGCTGTGATGATTACTTATTCCTCATAGCTCCTGGAACTGGGAGCCTGACTGGGGTTCTGCCCATAGTCTGGGGGAGGATGAGCTTTGAGCTCCCCCAGAGCTCTGTGTACAGACAGAACAGCAGCCTCCTGGCAGATGCACGGAGGAGAAGGGTTTGGAGAGTACCTACATCTTCATTCCAGTCCTCTGTGCCCCATTCTTCTGTCGCTGCCCTCCACGCACCTACAAGGACAACAACAGGTACAGAAGTTATGTATTCATCAAAGCTCTGCCTCCGAGAGCTGGAGAAGCACTGGGGAGCTTTGCAGGTAGCCAAGAGGATTTCTATTTGCCAACCAAGCCAGTTAAAGCAGTAGACCCCAACCCATGCTTCCTGGGCAAGGTACCATGACAGGGCCACCTCTGCCTTGCTGCCCCCAGGCTGAGCTGAAAGAGAGGGACTGCTGGGCTGGCAGATAGGGCAACACACACCTCCCAACACCCAGCAGGGGAGCTGAGCTTAGCAAGGAAGCTCCAGCACCACCCCCAGCCTCCTTGTGCCATTTTCCTGACTTCCTCTTGTACTGCAGTAGCTACAGCTTTGTGCACCTGGGAGCAGTCAGTGTTACCCCAGCAGCTTGGACAGAGCACCTCCCTCACAGGTTTCCTGCCAGCTCTGGCACAGGATCTCACCACCCAGGTAAACCTTACATTCCTATAAAACCTAGGGACAGCTGAGCGTTCCTGTGATTCATCTTCTCTCCCCAGTCAAAAAAAAGTCTTTAAACTTCAGTGCACCAGGACCTCCTGTGCACATGCAAATGGGATTCAGAAGGGAAAATTTGAGGGGCTAAGCAATTCCTGCATTTTCTGTGACCAGCTGCAGAGATATGCTCAAAGCACTGGGGAGAAAAGCTGGAGACCTCAGCCACAATCCACAGCACAGTTTAGGCAAGTAAGATTTACCAGAAAATAAAAAGAGTTTTCCCTGACTGCATCTTCAACTTGTTCTGACCCTTGCTTCCATCACAGAGTTTAACCTCTGTACTTCAAACATTATGTGGCAACTTCTGTATCCATTTAACAACTGAAATTTGGTTTGGGAGGAGAGCAGGAGATCTCACATCTGCAAAAACCTCAGAGCATAAAGCCAGCCCTGTTTTGCACAGCTGGTTTCCAGTCCACGCAAACCAGATCAATAAAACATGACGGGGCCAACAGGGTTAATCTTGGAGACACTTACAGGGACGGAACAAGTTGGCATCAGCCTTTTTATAGGCTGAAAGCCTTTTAGAGCATAAAACATAGCATGCAGGGAAGAACATTGTGGATTCTTCTGCAGGACACACTTTAACTGCATATTTAAACAACTGCCTGTCTAGAAGTGGGAAATTTAGTGCAAGAAATAAGTATTTATCAGTGAATTATTATTTTTTCATTGTTGTTTTGTTTTGCTTGACAAGTTGAGCCAATTCACGAAGCTTTCCAGGATTTATTTTCTTTTATATTCAAGTTTGAAATAGAGATACTAATAAAACATGACTTCCCAGAGTGCCAGGAATCTCAGGGCACACTAGTCTACCCCTTCCTTCCCAGTCAGAAGCATGAGGAGTTCAACACAGTCAATGCAAAACACATCTGAGGTTTAAAAACCCAGATTCCCCCATTTCTCAGATTTTCTGTGCCCTCACAGCAGTAGCAGGAAGGTTGTTTTCCAGATTTTAATGGATCAGAAAGATCCTTCCAGCTCAAACCTTACCCGAGAGGTGGAATAGGGAGCTGGATGTACCTGCAGGTGGCCAACAAAGCAGGAAGCCAATAGAGTTGCACCAAGAAGATTTTGTGCATGCAGGAGTACAGCATAGGGCTCTTAAGTATTGCTTATTTGGAGAAACTGAGAAGAAAAGCAAAGCAACACAAAAAGTAGAAGGAAACCCTGCAGATGAAGAGCAGCCATTGACGGGGCTTTCCC